CCCAACTTTAACTAAAGATGTACTGCCCAATGACTCTTCATTTCTCAATTATTACCCGGAAACCCTTTTGTACTGTCCAAGAATACTATTTTTCCAACTACAGTCAATTTTCAAAGTCCTTCCTCATCTTCCTTGAAGTTTTCTTCAGGGATCAGACAATCTCTCCTGGTACTACCACTACTCACCATGATGTATCTGTCCTCTTTTTAAGAATGGAAAATTCTTCAGACATTTACACTGATCACAGGAAAACAGGTTGGTCTGCAGATTTCTGTATTTACTGGAGATCCTCGTCTAATCTTTGTTTAGAACTCATGGTAGGTATTGGAACACCAAGGCAAGAAGACAGAAGCAGAGGCAGGAGAACATATTTAGTGCTCACTTACCTTTTGCTATGTCTTCTCCCCAGGAGACTCATTTATACTCAGTCTGGCCCAACTCTAGGGAAATTCTGTTTGTGCTACAAGGAATATGTCCAGGGGACCTGGACAGGGAAGGTGAAGCTCCAAACACCTATTGATGTCTGTTTATACCTGGACCAGGTCTCTGGACCTGTGAGTGTGGTGTGGTCCTCTCCTATTCCTATATTCCAGGTGGTATTACACTAAGTTACAAGGAAACCAAGTAAAGAAATCTAAGTGGGCTAATAAGGTAGCAGACACTTCATTTGTTCATTCTTTATATAATATACATGGTTCCTGCTTTTATTGAGCTCTTATGTACAGAACAGTGTTCTATACATCCTTACACACGTAAGTTACAGTTTCTGTCTTCCAGGAATCTACAGTGTTGTAAATAAAATAGGAAGTGCAAATTATAATAAGCGTAGAATATGACATATGCCACAAAATAGGTACAAGCAGACTTCCTTTAAGATGGCAGAATAGACAAACAAGCTACATAGATCCTCTTTAACAAAGAAAAAAGAAAACAATTGACACAGATACAGAAGATAATCCTGGATCCCTAAGCTTTGAAAGGAAGGATACAGAAGTGGATCGGTGG